CTTCCAGCGTCCCCACGTCCTTTCGAAAGCCTTTTGGGTACTGCGCACCCTTGCTGTGAGGTCGTCCATTAGGCAACTATCTTTTATTCTCCCCAGGATCGCTGCCCTGGTGGGGGGCTGCATTTTTAACCAGCGTTGTGCGAGGGCTCGTCTGGCCGCCAATGTGATTTTGTTGAATAGTTTTAGGTCATATTTGGGCCATTCGTCAATAGGTCTGCCCAGGAGGTATGTCCACGGGTCAAGGGCGGGTGCCCTCTGGAATACCTGTCCCAGTATGTCTCTAACGTCCTCCCAGTACCTGCGGACGACGGGGCACCCCCACCACATGTGGATGTATGTGCCCCGCAGACCACAGTTCCTCCAGCAAAGATCAGTGGGTGTCTTTCGCATGCGATGGAGTTGTACTGGGGTGGTGTACCATCTAAAGAGGGTCTTGAAAGATTGTTCCTGGAAGGAAACACAGATGGAGGAGGCGGCCGCCGTCTCCCAGATATCCTGCCAATCCACTCCCTCTAATACCTCACCCAGGTCCCTCTCCCATTGATCAGTATATGTGAGGTTGCCCCATTCTTTGGTTTCTGAGCATATGTGCGCGTATAACAGCGTGATTAGGCTTCTGGGAGATTGCTCTCTAAGGCATATGTTTTCAAAGAAGGTGGGGGATGTGAGTGCGGCCTTTTTTGTGTGCGGTTGCCTGGCGTAGTCTGCGATCTGGAGGTATCGGAAAAAATCGGCCGGGGTTAAGTGGTGTCCCTGCTTTATGGTGTCAAATGGGATGATGGAACCCTCCACATATAGTTGGCAAGCTCTCTGCAGGCCCGTATGTTCAATGTTTCTGAAAGCTTGTGGCACTAATCCAGGTGGGAAGGCCCTGTTTCTGAGATAGGGCATGAGGGGGGAGGGGGAGGATGACAGCCGGTATTTCTGAGATGTTTGATCCCAAATGTGAATGGAGTTGGTGATGGCCGGGCAGGCTGTCCGCAGTATGGGTCTGGAATCCTTTGGTACCCAGATAAAGTATTGTGGGAGGTCGGAGCCCATGAGGAGAGATTCCAGTTCTACCCATTTCCTCGTGTCTATAGGGGAGTGCCACATTGCAATCTGGGCAAGCTGGGCTGCTAAGTAGTAGTTATGTAAGTTGGGAAGGCCTAGACCTCCCGTTCGTTTTGGGCGGTATAGCGTGTGCCTCGACACCCGATGTCTTTTATTTTGCCATATAAAATTGCCGATGGCTCTTTGGAGGTGGGCCAGGTCCGTTTTTGCGAGCGGGAGGGGAAGGGCTTGAAATAGGAAGAGGATTCTAGGGAGGAGATTCATCTTAATGGAGTGAATCCGGCCCATCCATGAGATGGGCTTGTCGACCCAATTCTCCATGTCTCTGATAAGAGTAGTTATCATGGGGGGGTAGTTGTACTTGTGCATTTTGGATGGGTCTGAAGTCAATTGTACTCCCAAATAGGTGATTGAGTGGGTTGCTATGTGGATGCCATGAGCTCTATGTATGTGAGTTATCACGTCTGGCGTTAGCTCTATTGGTAAGGCACTGGACTTGGCCATGTTGGGTTTGTACCCTGAGAGTGGGCTAAATATTGCTAGGGTCTCCTGAACAGCCCTCATGGAGGTGATCGGAGACGTGAGGGAGAGGAGGACATCATCGGCATACGCCGAGACCAGGAACTTCCGTCCCTGAACCGTTATTCCCTGGATATCAGGATGAATGCGTAGCGCCTGAAGGAGTGGTTCCAGTACCAGAGCGAATAGGAGGGGGGACAGCGGGCAGCCCTGCCTCGTGCCGTTGGACAATGGGAAGGGGAGCGTGTGGGTCCCAGGGATGCGTATCTGTGCCGAGACCCCGTGGTATAGCGCTCGTATTGTCGCAGTATATGTGTCAGGGAGTCCTAGGTGGTCGAGGAGAGTAAACATATACGGCCATTTCACCCTGTCAAATGCCTTTTCAGCATCGAGTGAGACTATGAGGGTGGGGGTCTTGCTAGTGTGTTGTCGCCAGATGATGTCGCAGTTCTTGCGCGTGTTTTCGAATAATTGCCTCCCTGGGATAAAACCCACCTGATCGGCATCTACTAGTTTGCTGAGGAAAGGGTTGAGTCTGTCTGCCAGTATTTTAGCTAGTAGTTTCGCATCATGATTAATGAGCGATATTGGTCTGTAATTCCCCGGTAATTGCAGGTCCTTGCCCGGTTTCGGGATCAGTACTATGTCTGCTCGAGTGAGGTCTCCGTCAGGGAGGCCCCCTGTCCGGAAGTCGTTGAATAAGTTCGTCAGGTGGGGGGTTAATGTTTCTCTGAAGGTTTTATAGTATCTGCCGCTTAGTCCGTCCGGGCCTGGGGCTTTATTACCATGGAGTTTTGAGATGGCTCTATCTACCTCGTCTATTGTGATCTCCGAGTCGAGAGCGGCTGTCTCCTCTGGGGACAGTTTGGGCAGGTCTAGCTGTCCTAGGAAGGCGGCTGTCATCTCCCTCTCGCTCGCCCATTGCGATGTGGTGGTCGGGGAGTGGTTATATAGGGATCTATAGAACTCAGTGAAGATCGAGGCTATGTCGGTTGGGGCTGTCTTTATTGTTCCGTCCGGATGTTTCAGTGCTGTGATGTGGTGGCGTGTTTGTCGTGGTCTTAGGGTGCGGGCTAGGAGAGTGTCCATCTTGTTAGCCTGCTCGTAGTAGGTCCGTTTGGACCAGAGAAGGCTACGGGCTGCGTCGTCGAGAAGCAGCTCCCTAACGGCCCGCCTAGTCGTGTCTAGTTGGGCAAGTGTGGTCTCCGTGGGGGAAGTCTTGTGGCACTGTTCCCTAGTGCGTAGGGAATCCATGAGTTCGCGCAGGCGTTGTGTTTTTGCTTTTTTCTTGTGGGTGGCGAGTTGGATAAACGCGCCTCTGATCACCGCCTTATGCGCCGCCCAGAGTGTTCCCTTGGTTAAGTCGGGGGAGTCGTTGGTGGTAAAATAGAAGGACAGCTTCTCCTGTATGGAGGCTACTGCCTCGGGATCATTTAAAAGGGAGGTATTGAGCCTCCACGTCCATGGGGGGGCTGTACCTATGTGCTGGATGCTTAAGTGTATGTCCGCATGGTCCGACCATGTGATAGATCCAATGCTGCTACGTGCGACTTTGGGCACTGTGGCGCTATTTACCAGGAACAGATCTATTCGGGAGTATGTGTGGTGGGGGGCCGAGAAGAAGGTGTAATCTGTGTCTCCGGGGTGCTGTGCCCTCCAGATATCTATGAGTCCCATTGCCCTGATAAATTTGTATAACGCTTTGTCCGAAGCACCCCTGCCCTGTGATCGTGGCTGCCCCGCCTTCGCGCTTCTGTCTGCTGCTGGGCACGGAGCCGCATTAAAATCGCCACCTAGGACCTGCATGCCATGTGAGAGGGACTGAACCTTCCCCTCCAGTAGGCCCAGAAATCCCCCTCTGGGGTGTTGGGAGCGTACACGTTTATAAGGTGTATAACTTGCGTGTTTAGTGTGCCGGAGAGGATAATGTATCTGCCGTTGCTGTCTCCCTCTACGGCTGAGACCCTGAAGGGGCAGTCATGTCGAAGCAGGATTGCTACCCCATTGCGTTTGTTTACTGCTCTAGCCTCATATACTGTATTGAACGTATGGTCCCTAAGGGTGACTGTGGCTTGTTTGGGTAGGTGGGATTCCTGAATAAAGGCAATATCGGGGCGCATGCGTTTTAAGTCTCGGAACATTAGGCGTCTCTTTTTGGGGGAGTTCAGTCCCTTAACATTTAGGGAGGTGATATTTAGTGTCATGGTCGTGTCTGTCCGGCCTCGCTAATGTCCCGTCCCCGCCATCCGCCCCCCGCCAACCCCCCCCTACGAGGGCCCCCACCCCCCCAAGCACCCGGTCCAAAGAGGAGAAATGAGAACAGGCGGGTAGGGGGAGGGTGAGAGCAGAAGGGGGGGAGAGTATAAGAGGGTAGAGAAGAAAGAATAAAGGAGGTAGTAAATAGAGTAAACATGTGTCCCTGGTCTTACCATCTGCCAGGATCCTAGGAGGGTTGTGTGCCGGTCCTTCCGGCTTCGTGTTTTAGTACGGGGAGTACCGGTCGATCTTCCCGTCCCTAATTCCACCGCCTAAACTGTTTTCTTACCTATTGCCAGTGTTATCAACTAAGTTGGGCCGAACGTCTATGCTGTGAGCCTGAAAAAACCCAGATGACCCTAACTAATACTCCAGAGGGGGTGGGGATCGTATGAGGGTGAAAAAAGGCATGGGGGGCAAGGGACGGGGGACGGGTACCCGGAAAGAACAAATAGCGAGTGTGTGCTGTGGGCATCATACCTGAGGGCCCCTCTGCCCGGGTCACCCAGCCCGCCTATCTGGCCTTAAGGTCCCCGACATCTCCGGGACCCCCTCCCCCAACCATCAGGACCCATCGGGCGTGCTTGTCAACATGGGAAGGGAAGGCGCCTGATCCGCTACAGGGGAATATGGGTCCCAAAGTCATGTGCCTATCCACAGGCTGCCCAGAGGCCCCGCTCTCCTCAACCCGGCCATCCCGGGATGTCTCCATAGGGTCCCGTCTCCCCTCCCAATCACTGCAACACCCCCACTCCCGTAGCACTCCATCCCCCCCTCCCCCCCCCCACCAGTCCAGTCAATAACTGAGGGTCTCCAGCGTTGTAACTACTCACAGCAGCTAGCACGTCGCGCCTCTCCGACTTCACTGACTGTGGCGGTCCACAATTTGCCAGTCTCGGGTCAGTAGGCCCAGGTCTTCCTGCTCCAGTGGGACCGTGGAGAGGCTCTGTGGTGGTGGGATATCCAGGGCCTGGAACAGTTGGGTTGGGCATTCTCCTGGCTGCAGCATGTGAGTGCGGTTGCCCCGGAATACCATGAGCTTAAAGGGGAAGCCCCATGCATACCGGATGCCTGCTTCTCGTAGCGCGTCCGTGATGGGTTTCCATTCTCTCCGACGTTGAAGAGTGGAGGGAGCGAGGTCCTGGTATAGGGAGAGGTCAGCATCCCCATACCGGATGGGTGTTTCTCTGCTCTTCTTCAGGAGGGCCTCCTTAGTCTGGAAATAGAAGAAGCGCATGATGACATCCCTGGGGCTGTTCTGATCTGCCCGCCTGGCACGGAGCGCTCTGTGGGCACGTTCAATGTGCCAAAGGTGGTCTGGCATATCAGGGAGGAGAGGTTTGAGGATGGTGTGGAGTAGGTCCTGCAGTGGGCCTTCCCCGGCGGTCTCTGGGAGCCCGCGGAGGCGTAAATTGTTCCGTCGGGATCGGTTGGCCATATCCTCTATAGCCATAGGCGTGCGCACGGGGTGTGCCGGGTGTGCCTGGGCACACCCTAATCCCCGTGGCACGCCTATGGTTTGAGTCCTGCAGGAACAGCGTTCCTGCAGGCACTCAGTGCCCCCTGTTTCACCTCTTGCCCCTGTCATGGGAGGGCAAGAGGTGATGATTCCACCCACCCTGCAGTTCTGCTGTCTGCTCCCTCTCGCCGCGCGCTGATGCCGGGAGCCGGAATATGACGTCATATTCCGGCTCCCAGCTGCAGCAGACAGCCCGCGCGGCGAGAGGGAGCAGACAGCAGACAGCTCCCTCGCCGCGGCTGAACTGCGGAAAGGCGCCCGCCCCCACTGGACCCCAGGGAAAAGTCCACCAGCACTCCAGGTAGGAGGCTGGGTGGACATTTTTTTTTTTTAATTAAAATATAATAATTTGTGTGTGTGTGTGTGTCAGTGTGTCTGTGAGTGTGTGAGTATGTGTCAGTGTGAGTGTGTGTCTGTGAGTATGTGTGAGTGTGTGTCTGTGAGTGTGTGAGTATGTGTCAGTGTGTGTGTCTGTGAGTGTGTGAGTATGTGTCAGTGTGTGAGTATGTCAGTGTGTGTTTCTGTGAGTGTGTGAGTATGTGTCAGTGTGTGAGTATGTCAGTGTGTGTTTCTGTGAGTGTGTGAGTATGTGTCAGTGTGAGTGTGTGAGTATGTGTCAGTGTGAGTGTGTGTCTGTGAGTGTATGAGTGTCTGTGAGTGTGTGTGTCTGTCTGTGAGTGTGTGTGTGTCTGTGAGAGTGTGTATGTGTGTGTGTATATATATACACACACACGCGCGGCGTGTGTTTGTGCTTTAGGGTGCACACCCTAATGCAATAGGCTGCGCACGCCTATGTCTATAGCCAGCTCAGCTGTTCTCATACGAGCTGTGAGGCGGTTAATCTGGAGGACCGCTGAGTTGTGGGCATCCACTGTGGCCTCCTGTTTGTGCTCCAGTCTCGCAGTTCTGACTCCCAGTGCCTGGATCTCATTCTGCAGGACCGCGGTGGATTTCTGTATCTCCCCTGCCAGGTAGTGTTTGAGCTCTGCTAATTGAGCTAGGATCTGTGGGGTATCCCCCACCTGATGCTCCGTTGGAGAGGCACTGCGCTGTGGCGGGCTTCTGGGCGCCGGGCCTGCACCGGCGCCATTTTGGGCCTGTTGCGCGGTCGATTTTGCGGCGGCAAAAAGATCCGCTACTGACGTCTCTGCCTCTTGCCCCTTCCTAGGCTGCTTCTTGGGGTTGCGCTTTTCCATCCTGCTGGGGTTTCGGTTCAGTTCGGCGGCGGTAAGTATGCCTTTTATTGCTGTAGGCGGCGGTTTCGGGCCGGAGCTTTAGCTTAGTGCGTCCAGCTCGATCGTTGGTCAGGCCGTGAATCCTATTTTATATCATATTTGCGTGTGACAATAACTGATTTTTAAAAAATGCTGGTACGAGCCGCACTCAATCCCAGCAGCCACCAAGTGCTTTGGAGCAGGACCAGCAATCCCACAACGACAAGGCAACACAAGAAATTCTCCAGGCACTCAAGGTGTCCAAACCGCAGGCAGTTTTAATGGAACAAAAGGAGCAGCAACGTTTCATCCTTTGTCAAGCTTTCAACGTTTCATCCTGCTAAGAGGTCTTTGTCAAGTTTGTGTTGCAATAACTGATTTTAAAGCAGACAAGTGATGGCACTGAATGAAATTTGCTTATTAGTTTGAAATGATCCAATTTCAACCGGATTTGCCTTTAGTAAATATGAGAACTGCAAAACCAACTGATATTCTGTATTTTAAGCAAACTCTGACCATCTGGTCCTAAATCGAACTTGAGTGAAAAACAGGACAGTAACTGAAAAAAAGTGAGGATCTCAAAACGCAAAACATATCGAACCTCAAAGTAGGATTCAGCAGGAAAAGACCACGACAGACAGGAAACTGAGTTTAGAGTGTGCACATACCAGCACCACTGTGAAACTGGAAAAGTGTACAGTATAGTTGGGAGTACTCACTAAACTGCAAAAACATAATGTGAAATTGCCTTTAAATTCCCCACAATTCCCATTGTAGGGAAGATCCTGTGTGAACGCCACCTTCTAGTTAACATTGGTTAATTTATTTACAAGGTATATTTTATTTACTATATTTTTACACAGATGTCAGGTAGTAAGACAGAAGGCTGAGATATTGAATACAATGTATTGAGAAAGAGAACTCGGTCACTGACAAAAAGGCACAGAATGAAATAAGAACTGGGACACAAATAGAGCGATTCCATCCCCCCTGAACTCCCTGGGTTTCAGCGACATTGATGCGGGGAATGACGTAACCTTAATCGGGGTGACGTAGGAGAACCTGAAATCTGCCAAACGCTCTGCAACTAATTACTAATTGGATCAGCTCAGCAATTACTGGGTTTTTTACTTTTGAAGTGTACGGGCAATGAAAATATAACTATGAGAATCAGAAGTCTAGATGCGCTCAGCAGTGAGAGACGGCAGATGTCGCAGATAGAATCAAGTCAAGTGGCAATCTAATGGCACATGCCAGAGGGCTAACTGCTGGCTGATGGCATCGCAATGTGAGCCGATTCTTGGTTATCCACCTTCAAAAGCCTGATTACAACAATGCTGGGAATATTGCTCTGAATACTGGAGTATTCCCGCATAAACCATAAATTCTACCCCCAATTTCTTACCCCGCTCTGGAATGAAATCATTAATAGTGCACAGCGCCATGCTACTACAGCTCTTTGTAGTGGTTATGGTTCAAGGAGTTACCCTTTGGGCGTCTGCCCCTTTATCACTCTGAACAGTGCACTAGCAAGATTCAAGCCTTTTTTTTACCCTTTTTATTTTTTTGGGAAATATATTATTTTTAGGAAATTCTTTTTATTACTTTTTTTATTCCCCCCCCCCCCCTTTTTTTTTTTTTTTTTAAATAAGCAGAGCTAGTAAAGTTAGTTTCCAGGTATTTGGCACACTGCTTTAGTGAACCGGAGAAGAGGGACGTTGCTGTAATAATCACACGTTTTGTAAAATGTTTTCACATACAGTAAATCTGGGAGATTTTTGGCATCAAAACTCGTACCTGTATGGGATTATGGTATTTAGATTGCCCTTTATAAAATAACATATAAGTATTCTATTTAGTTTAAAGGAACGCTCTGACTCCCATAACACCTTCATCAGAGTTAAGTTGTTATGTTGCGATAAGTTTCCCTGGGGCTGGCTTACCTCATGGGGGTGAAACCGTTAATGAACAGTTTAACCACAAAGTGCTTAAAGGACCACTCTAGGCACCCAGACCACTTTAGCTTAATGAAGTGGTCTGGGTGCCTGGTCCAGCTAGGGTTAACCCATTTTTTCATAAACATAGCAGTTTCAGAGAAACTGCTATGTTTATGAATGGGTTAAGCCTTCCCCTATTTCCTCTAGCGGCCGTCTCATTGACAGCCGCTAGAGGCACTTGCGTGATTCTCACTGTGAAAATCACAGTGAGAGCACGCAAGCGTTCATAGGAAAGCATTGATAATGCTTTCCTATGTGACCGGCTGAATGCGCGCGCAGCTCTTGCCGCGCGTGCGCATTCAGCCGACGGAGAGGAGAAGATGAGGATCGGAGGAGGAGAGCTCCTCGCCCAGCGCTGGAGAAAGGTAAGTTTTAACCCCTTTCCACCTTCCAGAGCCGGGCAGGAGGGGGACCCTGAGGGTGGGGTCAGGTATGTTTTCCTGGCACTATAGTGGTCCTTTAATCTGGTGTCTGATAGCTCTTGTCAGCAGTCTGAGGCTTGAATCAGGAAGCCTCAAACATACGCATTTTTCTCAAGCCATTTTGCAAATGGGTAGCTACTGATGGGCTGAGAGTGTCAGCTGATGCTCTCAGCCTATCAGAGGCACCTTGTCTGAGTCTTCCCGATTCAATTCTCAGACTGTGGCAGGAGGGCAGGGGCAGGGCCGGATTAACATAGGGGCTGATGGAGCTGCAGCTCCAGGCCCATGGAATAGGCCCATTTAAAAAAAGTTTTTTTAAAACTTTTTTTTTGCACACTACTTTTAGGTTTGCCATCTGACTGGTATTTTAAGGCACAGCCGGTATTTGAGGCTGCCTGGCCGTGATGGTATTGCAGTAATACCCGCAATACAAATCTTTTTCTCAGTATAAATGGAGATTACTCTGCAATACCAGCACCGGCCAGTAGGGGTCATTGTGTATGGAGAGAGGCAGGGATAGGAAGTTACAGCATATCCCTCCCTACCTCTCTCTACTCTCTACTCCGCGGGGGAGCAGCTACACAGCACAGAGAGTTCAGACAGCAACTCCCAGCCTGCAGAGACAGACTACATAAGTAGACACATTGAGACACGGAGACACTAGGGACACAGTGTCTCCATGTCTCCCAGTGTCCAATGTCTCTCAGCCAGTGTCCCCTAGTCTCCCTGTGTCCCCAAATGAATGTGTCCCCATGTCTCCCAGTGTCCACATGTCCCCCAGCCATGTCCCTAGTGTCTCAGTGTACCCATATCTCCCAGCCAGTGTCCCCTAGTCTCCCAGTGTCCCCAAATGTCTGTGTCCCCATGTCTCCCAGTGTCCACATGTCTCCCAGCCAGTGTCCCTAGTGTCTCTGTGTCCCCATGTCTCTGTGTCCCTAGTGCCCCAGTGTCCCCTAATGTCTCAGTGTCCCCATGTCTCCCAGTGTCCCCATGTCTATGTTTACAAGTGCCCCATGTCTCCCAGTGTCCCCTAGTCTCTCGGTGTCTGTGTTCCCATGTCTCTGGGTCCCTAGTGTCTTAGTTTCCCCAAATGTCTGTGTCCCCATGTTTCCTAGTGTGTGTGTCCATGTCTCTGTGTCCCTAGTGTCTGTGACCCCATTTCTCGCAGTGTCCCCAAATGTCTCAGTGTCTCCATGTGTCTCAGTGTCCCCAAGTGTCTCAGTGTCCCCGGGTCTCACTGTGTCCCCGGGTCTCATTGTGTCCCCATGTCTCTCAGTGTCCCCTAGTATCCTAGTGACATGGGACACACTGAGACATTGGGACAACAAATGTGGACACAGACACTGGGAGACTAGGGGACTGGGCGACATGGGGACACTCACACTGTGATACATAGGGACACTGATGCCAGGCTGGCCTTCCAATTCTTTGGACAGACATACCCCCTTTTTGGGCATGTTCGCCCCTTTTAGCAGTTCTGGTCACGTGATTCGCATCAGTGGCCCACCCTTTTACCCCACCCATTGATTTCCTGCTTCACTGGACACTGCTGTTAGGGGGTATGGATTTACTTGAAAGATTAAAGCATAAATTAGATAAAGAGATTAGCATAGGGAATGTGTTTTTGTATAGCTGCATCCTTTCCCTCCAACACCAACTTCATCAGATACATGACGCTTGGGAGGTATGACTGTTTTAGTGTTTTTGGTCGATAAGATTCTGTAATTAGTCCCATCATAATTGTCAGCTGCAGGCCCACTGTGCTCTTAATCTGGCCCTGGGCACGGGGCACTGGATTCAACACTTTGGGGTGAAACCATTCATTAATGGTTTAACCCCTTGTGGTAGGCCAATGTCCGGGGGCCTCTTCACACTATAAGAAATTAATTCCAAAGTAGCTGTTATGGGGAATGGAGTGTCCCTTTAAACCTTCCATTTCCATATTTTCCCTATCCTTAAAATGCTAAATTTCTCCCCTTTCTAGAAATCCCATTATTCTCACACAGAAGATTTTTTTTTTAAGCTAGCTATACAATTACACAGATTGTGATGTTAACGTTTGGCCAAGCTCCATTTGAGAACAAAATACTGTCAAATTGTTGAACCATTTTATTTACCATTAAACACCTGTAAAACGAAGTGAAGACATCTGTACAATAAGAATGTGCTGAGTGGATAGCCGTGCAATTAGATATCTTGCTAAAATTGCATTTTGGTCCAAAATAAGGTATTTTACCGCACAATATATAGGACGCAGCACATGTGGATTATTTAATCATGCATTTATTTTTTACTTATATTGTGTAAGTATGAAACAAAATGACTCATTTACAACACAAACTTTGCTCTGGGATTTCTGTTAATAAAACAATCATTGAATAGTGAGAACGGACTATACATAATTATGGGAATAACATTTTTTTTATTTGTACTTTATCAGGGGAATTACATTTTTTTTGTTTGTTTTTTTAAAGTTTTTTTTCTGTCTAATAAAATTGATCTTAATTCAATCTACGCAATTCATTAATTAAAATAAGTGAACATATATTATTTATAGGTTACGGTTCTGTAAAGAAGACATTTATTCAAACCATATAAAAATTTTCATTGGCTTCTACCGCTGTGTAACGAGATTGATGGCAGAGGTAACATTGAGGTCAGCCAGCAGTTCAGTTACGTTGGAACGCAAACGAGGAGACGTTCTGGAAGTTAAAATGAATAAAAGTAACAAAAGTAACTAATTGAATTGAAATAATTAATTAAATGTCTGTAGGTATTTTCTATCAGCCTTTAACAGCTCTCTTAATAAACACCTAAATTGCAATATTTTGTATGGGATCTGGATATTTCCAGACACTGAAAGCCCCAAACTGAATTAGACGGATCCAAGGCTCATGGTTTGATTTAGCTTTGCTTTTAGTTAATAATCAGTGATTTTCCCCTGTACTTTGTAATTCAAAGACATGTTTGAAGATTAGCTAAAATGACAAACTATGACTACTTTCTGTAAGGACAAAATACCCGTACAGGGTTATTTACTAATGCCCGAATTGTTGCCAACTAAAATGGCAACATTTAGGATAAAATAGTCACGTTGTGACAATCGTGAAGTTGGAGAATTTGTTAAGACCTGCAGATTTTTCCCAAATATTAATTTGCCCGCAGGATTTTATAGATTTGAAATGCTGAGTTAAGAAAAAGTCTTAAATTCGATGGGTGAACCATTCATCATGCTGCAGTCATTAAACACAGAGAAGGAGACAAGGTGCTACAAACAACAGTAGTTCATCACACTCCATAGGTCTAGGTGATTTAGGGTCAGCGGCTTTAGATTATATGTGTGGACTGTATTTAATTTTTAGCCCTAATTTTACCCAATTTTAAAACTTCTAAAAGGCTGCCTAAACCCTAATATTTTGTAAGCAGCGCTCTTGTTATTTCACCACCAAAGGACAGAGTTGCAATATGACATCTCCAGACCTAGTAGCCAAGGTAGGTAGATAGGCAAAGACGTGTTTTGAACAAGAATGAGAGAAAGATACAGTTAACCTGTCTAATATAAGAAATCATCACTAGACCAGGATACTTCTTTGACAGGGGAATTAGACAGACCATTTAACCCCTTCGCACCGCTTGACGGATATTTTCCTACCTAACAGTAAAACAAAAGTTTTTAAAAAAAAGTTACAAAAAAGTTGAAAAAAGTGAAACAAAGTTTTTAAAAGGTTAAAAATATATATTTTTTTAAACGGTTGTATCAAACAACCACGTTAGACCCTCTAACGCGGCACAAGCCCCCTACAAACTGCACCAGCCAGCACCGCAAGTGAGGAGTGAAGAAATGGGCCAAAAAACTAAAAAGGTCAAGCCCAATAAGCCTCGGCTGAGCGGAAATATCGGAGACCTATATGGACACAAACATGGCTGACTACGCCGACAACTGCTCCAAAATATGGGATGATTTCACAAGCGGGGCTGAACTACACCACTCACCTGTCTTGACAGCTCCTCTCCAGACACACCCTCAAACAGGCATATCTCCCGTGACCGAAGCGGTGATGAAAGAACTGCTAGTGGGGCTTCCACTCACCATACAAGCGATCATGGCCCAGATCTACGGATACCTGCAAGCAGGGGAGGGCTGGCAGCCTTAGTCCTGGGGGGCAATCCCAGTCAAGTGGCCCATTGGACCACCGAATCAGCTCACCATCCACGCCCACCTTTTCCTTGTTTTATAACGGATATTGATGTTATGAAGCAAGACAAATATGATACAATGTGGTTTAACATAATTTATTTGTAATGGCAAAAAATTATGTTTAACAAAAATAAAATCTACAGTTTTAACAAATGAACAATGTATGGGCACAATACACTTTTTCAAAAAATACAGAAGCCAGAGAAAGAAATATCTGTATAAAACTTTTAAACTAAATATTTGATCAAACGGTTAGCAAAGACCTCATCAAGGCAGAACTTTGACGAATAATTTCCAATACATCTGGAAACTGGACCTGTTCCAGAAGATCTCTCTCCACTGACATGAGCATTAGAGCATCAAGCAGTTCTTGTCCCATTGTGGCTCGCAGTCGGGTCTTGATGAGTTTAAGCTTGCTGAACGCTCTCTCACATGACACTTGTGTAAAAGAAAGGGTCAACAGGTACTCATAGGTGATAGAAAGATTTTCATAAGCTGCAGAATAAAGGTTGTATTTTATCAACAACCTGTGGCAGCAAAGAAAGCACTGCTTGCAAGAACCGCACTTTGATTCCTTTTGTACCTCAACTAGTTTGTCAGTAGGTGGAATCCAGTCAATCTCCTCCTCCTCTTCCTCCTCCTCCTCATCAATAATTATTTCCACTTTCTGTGTCTCATCTTCAGAAAGACATCCTGTAAGACTTGGAAATAAGTTGGCAAAACTTATTAATTCAGTTTTGAGAGAACATTCATTTACTTTGGCTAACTTAGAAATTCTCTCTAGTGCCCCTCCATCTAGCACTTTGGGATCTGTCCTAATTTTCTGAAAAGTGCGAGGATCCAAGTAGTGGGAATCCATGACCAATTGCTTATTTTCTGAAAATCTCTCCGTCATGCTTTGTATGATTTGGTCCAGAATTAGCTAGCTCGAAAACATTGCATTTCATCTTCAGGCCGTTCATCATGTGAAGATTCTCCAGCCAAGCGTTTCTTTCGTAGCATAGTCTCGACTTCCAAGGAGTTGAGAACATCACTTTCATCCATTAACTCGTTTGTTTTTATTGCAAAGTGTTCAGCCTTTTGTTTTAGATTGTTGAAATCAATTTTCTTCAGTTGCTCCACTGCACGTTCGACCATTTGCCATGCTACCTTGAAGTCAAGGCCACTGGTTTGTAGATACTTTGACACTGGCCCTATAACATCAAAAACCTGTAAAAATATGTTTGCTGTTAGGATAATCCTAAACTGACAAAGATTGTGAAAAAGGGATGAGGCCTCAGAAGTGGTTTTTGATTCAAACAAGTTACTCTGGGAAATTACATATAAAACTTCAAGGGTGTCAAAATAAAGAGAATGTTTTTCACCAAAAATCCAGTTAAGGGCTTTTTCTTTTGCCCACCATCTTGTCTCTCCAATTTTTTGTAACTTTAAAAGTTTTTCCTGTCCATGTCTTCTATCCAGTTGGTCTTTCCAGATATTCATTCTTTTGTGTGAGTCTCCAATAAAGGTTGCCAAGCGATTTAGGAGACCAAAAAAATTTTTGGCTTCCAATACTTGACAGCAATCTGAGACACACAGGTTAAGGATATGACTATAGCACCAAATATAAACCACATCTGGCACTACGTTTGCAATCTGTGCACGTAGTCCCACATACGCACTCCTCATATTTGCTGCACCATCAAATGATTCACCAGCAATTCTTTGGAAATCTAATCCAAGCATATCAAAACAGGACATTAGAAGTTCGTGAAATCCTTTTCCTGTAGCGTCTTTAACAGGGAGAATCGCCACAAGCCGTTCTTTAATGGCTTCATCTTGCACATATCTCACAACTACTGTTGCTTGATCTACAATTCCAACATCTTGTGTGGAGTCAACCTGTACACTGAATCCTTTCTCTCCGATTTCAGACACAATTAAGTTTTTCATGCTTTGAACTATTGCTGCAAATACTTTCTTTATTGTATTATTGGACAAAAATGTCACAAGAGATCCACGTCCAGTTGAATGTTTTCCTGATGTTTTTCTGTCTTTCAATTGCTGTTTTCTTTTTTCACTGTCCTGAACACATTTATCAAGGTGATTTTTAAGAGGAATATCATACTGTGATAGAAGTAGGACAATTTCCAGAAAGTTCCCGTGGTTTATTTCAATGTTATTTAAATTGTACAGCGATTCATTAGTGCCATGGGCACGAAATGGCAATCCCTGTTTTCCGAGGAGTTTTACAATATTAAATATACGGTTTAATAACTCAATATTTTGTAGTATCTCCTTCTTTCTTCTGGAGACTTGAGCCTGATTTAATAACGTGTCAATGATTCTATTCGTTTTCATGGTAAAATAAGCACTAACAGCATCAGAATGACTTTTTGAAGATTCGTGCTTATTTGCTGCCTGATAGCAATGGCGAAAATTAGAACAACCACTAGTGAACGAGGAAGAGGAATTAGAAAAGGCAATGCATATGCTGCAAAAAAATGCTTCTAACTTTCGATCCTTTATCTTACAACTCAGCCATGAACGCTTAATAAGATCCCCATTAGACTTTTTGCGGTAATAAAAGTCTGCTTCTTGAAAAGGAAGATCTGCGCATTCAGTCCTGGTTGGCTGAAAAGGGTGTTTTTCAACAAAATTAATTTTTTCTGCTATGGAGCACGCAGGAGGAAGACTAAAAGATATTTCTGATGGATCATTTATAACGCTTCCTGACATGTCTTCAGATGTGATACATTCTAATTCAGGAAGGTCTTCAAAAACATCTGGGTCATTCATCTGCGCTTGCTCTCTGCGTTCTGACACCAGCTCCTCCTCAATCACCTGTTCTTCTGCTTGTGGGCTCACCTCATCTTCGACGGACACAACCGGCCTGCTTGAAGGAGCACTTGGGCCGGCAGAAACCTCATCAACAGGAATTCTTGGGTGTATACCACCAGCCTAAAACAACATTTTTTTTTTGTCAAACTATTTTAATCTCCCCAGAAAAGTTCTAGAGGTAACCAAGAAACTCCAGGAACTCCATGCATGGTAACAATAAAAAAACCAAAAAAAAAAAACCTCATGCAAACAAAGGATATACAACTCATACTTACCTTACATGTAAGATTTTATGAGATTTCAAATAAGTAAAAATATATCTTAACAAAGTAAAACTGATCACTATGGAAAGTCAAGTATGCACACTCCTTGATAATCCATCATGAATCTTAACAAACGTAAAACTTCTTCATGCACATGCAAACAGACTACCGTATATACTCGAGAAATTTTAGTTGTAAGCTTCATTTTAAAACGCAGATCCACGGGTCCATGCTAGTTTCGATAGAATTTAGTTCACATTGAATGCGGGGCAATATCGAGTTACAGGTAGTGCTAGAGTACTTAGCTGTACGTTGACCCAGATACCGGGTACACACACGGACAACAGCAGGCTGATTTAGAATACAGTGCAGCGATTGCTGATTACTGCCACCTATCTGTACGCTTTCCACGTCACTGTTGCAGCGGTGGCTGTAATGAGCCACAAGCAAGACCACTAGCTGGCGAGATAACCGAATGTGCCTTTGGAGCTGAGCGTGTGCACTGAGATGCAGAGGAGTAGTTACCATAACAGTTTGATTGTTCCAGGATCTTTGCCTAGGTAATATCTGACAAAATAATAAAAATCCCAGGATTTCATAGCCCCAAGTTTTACCCTCGACTTATCCACGAGTAATTTTACAATTGTTGGTCAAAAAACTGCTCTCGACTTATAGACGAGATCAACTTATAGACGAGTATATACGGTAGATATATTCATTCTTGTTATCAAAAGAGTGAATATACATTTCTGTGACATAAAATGTTAGAACTAGCCTTAACTTTTGAACTTTTAACATACCACCGAAAAAGATAGTTTCATTTGCTTAGGATCCCTTCCTGCTAACTCAAGTTCTTTGGACCGTTTTTCTCTCATTTTCTGAGCACCACCTTTCTCTTTAGATGTTGTTTTACTCTCCATATTTATCAATATGAAACCAACTGTAAAATTTATTTAACACCAAAACACGACAATGAGCTACATAAAAACAGCAAACATTTACTAATGTAGTGATTTAACTCCTAAATGGCAGATCTATACAGGGGCATAATCTATACACCAAAACTGTTCCATTAAGCAGGGGCATGATCTATACACCAAAACTGCTTCATTAAGCTAAAGTTGTTGTTTTGTTGACTAAAGTGTCCTTTTAAGTGATTATTTTACAATCACTTAGCGCACACCTCATCATGAAAGAAGATTGCAGATTTAGTGTCAGCCAGGAGAGACTGGCCAGTGGTCAATATATTTATGTTTAGTCAAAAACATAATGGTGGCACTTTGCAAATTGACATGTTCGGCAATGACACAAACAAAGGGCACGAGGAGAGACAGACATAGTGCCTGTAATTTACACGAATTCTATGCTCTGGGGACCAATATACAGCCTGTTTGCTGCCAGAGGTAAAAATGTACAAAGCAGCCTGGTGTTTTACACCCAATAGACAGCAGCACCTGTCGGTAAAAGCCAAATTACTCATCTTTATATGGACACAAAAACAAAAATATAATTTCACCTGGGAATTTGACAAATATAACTCAAAAAGACTATCTGCATCTGATCATTAAGTACATAATGAGCCTGACAACCCTGGTTTGAGAATCAGACCATTTTAACTTGTCCGTTATAGCCATGTGTTTTAAAGAAGGGGTTTCATCTTGTATTAGTAGTGCCACAGCAGCGGCATTGAAGGCTTCAATTATATTTTTGTACTGGGAAAGACTGCCGGCAGTAAGTTAATATTGGTGAAGCACTGCAGCTCTCTGATGACACGGTTTAGGTGGCCGCGAGGCTCTTAACGAGAGGCCGTCTAAATCGCCTAATTAGAGAGACGCCTCTTGCCAAGAGATCTGGTCTCTGTGCAGCATATCAGTGTATCACTGAGCTCTACAGCAATAGAACTCACAGTAATGTGCAATTTGTAAGTATATCACACATCACTTCATCAATACAATGCACAGGACTGGGCAGTGTTTGAGTATATCTCAGCCAATCCACTCCTTTCCTATAGGAAAGCATTGAGAAGCTATTGTGCATGCATGGCAAAATGCTGCGCTGCACCAATCAGCAGCTCCTTACAGAGATGCATTGAATTAATGAATCGCTATGGGGAGTGTACAGCGTGGTGCTAATCATCAGCGCTGCACATTTTGCAGCACTGACCTAGAAAGCACCTCTAGCGGCCATCTGAGGTGTGGCCACTAGAGGTGTTCTTAGGCTGTAATGTAAACAATGCTTTTCTCTGATAAGGCACTGTTTACATTAAAATGCCTATAGGGAATGACTATATGACACCAGATCAAAACACATTAAAGGACCACTATAGTGCCAGGAAAACATACTCGTTTTCCTGGCACTCTAGTGCCCTGAGGGTGCCCCCACCCTCAGGGTCCCCCTCCCGCCGGGCTCTGGAGAGAGGAAGGGGTTTCTTCCTCTCCTCCTTCCTAGCGACGTCATCGGGTAAATGCGCATGCGCGGCAGGAGCCACGCGCGCATTCAGCCAGTTCATAGGAAAGCATTTACAATGCTTTCCTATGGACGCTGGCGTCTTCTCACTGTGATTTTCACAGTGAGAAACACGCAAGCGCCTCTAGCGGCTGTCAATGAGACAGCCTCTAGAGGCTGGATTAACCCTCAGTGTAAACATAGCAGTTTCTCTGAAACTGCTATATTTATAAAAAAAAGGGGTTAACCCTAGCTGGACCAGGCACCCAGACCACTTCATTAAAGGGAAACTCCAGTGCCAGGAAAACAATCTGTTTTCCTAGCACTGGAGGGTCCCTCTCCCTCCCACCCCTCAATCCCCAGTTACTGAAGGGGTGAAAACTCCTTCAGTCACTTACCTGAGGCAGCGGTGATGTCTCCTCCTCTGCGCAGCTCCTCCTCTGTATTGCGTCGGCCGGTGGACGAGACTGATCCCGCCCACCGGCCGAGGAGACCTAATGCGCATGTGCGGCAATGCCGCGAATGCGCTTTAGCGCTCCCCATAGGAAAGCATTGAAAAATAATTTCAATGCTTTCCTATGGGGAAATGAGCGACGCTGGAGGTCCTTACACAGCGTGAGGACGTCCAGCGACGCTCTAGCACAGGTTTCCTGTGCTATGAAGGAGGAAGTGACCTCTAGTGGCTGTCTAGTAGGCAGCCACTAGAGGTGGAGTTAACCCTGCAAGGTAATTATTGCAGTTTATAAAAAAACTGCAATAATTACACTTGCAGGGTTAGGAGTAGTGGGAGTTGGCACCCAGACCACTCCAATGGGCAGAAGTGGTCTGGGTGCCTGGAGTGTCCCTTTAAGCTGAAGTGGTCTGGGTGCCTATAGTTGTTCTGGTGATTATAGTGTCCCTTTAATATTCCTGTGTACACTACTACATTAAAACAGTAGATTTTATTAGCAGGGATCAGTATTTCTAAATCTACATGGCTCACTTCTTAAGTAAAAAAAAAAAAAATTGTTAAGATTTAATCTGCTAATCAAATGTCACTTTAGTGAGAGAGAATCCTTACAATGATAGAGAAAAAAAATTGAGCAAATTTCTAGATTTTTAGAACACAACTTTAATTTGCAGATTATTTTTTTTTATAAATGTGCACATTACAAATATTGTACTGTCCCCCACCCCCCCTTTAAAAAAAAAATCTTCCTCATTACAAGATTTTTCTATTTTTTAATATATAAATGTGCACATCATCGCATTTATTGTACTTCCCACCCACCCCCTACCCCTAAAAAAATATCTCCCTCATTACAATCTTTTTTTATTTATTATTTTGCAGATTTTTATATTTTATAAATATTCACATTGCATTTATGGTACTGCCCTCACCCCCTCCCCCTAAAAAAGTAATATCTCCTTCAATACAATCTTTTTTTATTTTGCAGATTATTATGTTTTTATATAAAAGTGCACATCCTCGCATTTATTGTACTTCGCACCCACCCCTTAAAAAAATCTCCCTCATTACAATCTTTTTTCATTATTTTGCAGATTTTTATTTTATATATGTACACATTGCATTTATTTTACTGCCCCCACCCCCTCCCCCTAAAAAATAATATCTCCCTCATTACAATTTTTTTTATTATTTTGCAACCTTTTTTTTTATATGAACACATTGCATTTAATGTCCCCCACCCCCTCCCCCTAAAAAATAATATCTCCCTCATTACAAATTCTTTCATTATTTTGCAGATTTTTATTTTAAATATGTACACATTGCATTTATTTTATGGTACTGCCCCCACCCCCCTCCCCCCTAAAAAATAATATCTCCCTCATTACAATATTTTTTTATTATTTTGCAACCTTTTTTTTTTATATGAACACATTGCATTTAATGTTCCCCACCCCCTCCCCCTAAAAAATAATATCTCCCTCATTACAAATTCTTTCATTATTTTGCAAATTTTTATTTTAAATATGTACACATTGCATTTATTTTATGGTACTGCCCCCACCCCCTCCCCCTAAAAAATAATATCTCCCTCATTACAATATTTTTTTTATTATTTTGCAACCTTTTTTTTTTATATGAACACATTGCATTTAATGTCCCCCAACCCTTAAAAAAAAAATTCCTTCATTACAACTTCTTTTTGGAGACTTTTAATTTTCTTTTAATATATGAACATATTGATTTACTGCCCCTTCCCCGTAAAAAATAGTATCTCCCTCATTACATAAATTTTGCAGACTTTTCTTTTCTTTTTTAGATGAATGCATTGCATTTACTGCCCCCCAACCCCTCCCCCACCCCCTAAAAAAATATTTATATCATTACAACTTTTTACTTTGCAGACTTTTATTTTCTTTTATACAGGAACATTGATTTGCAGTAAAGTCCCCTCATACAGTCAATATAAAAAAAAAAACACTTACACTTCTGAAGATAGTTCAAGACACTGGCAGCTGCTCTCTCAGGGCTCGGATGCTCGATGAAGAAAGGGTGTGAGGGTGCTCCGTTCGGGTGGAGGCTATGCGCATGCGCTGTTACCGGCCATGACGTCATGGTACGCGCTTGCGTATGCTCGTTCAGGCGCAGGGGAGGTCAAAAGGAGGAGCCAGTTCGTCCTTCACTATGCGGTAATGCCGACCGCATAGTGAAGGATCGGAATTTTGACCGCACGGCCGGCGGGGCTGAAGAGGCAGCTGCCTTGGTGGCCCACAGGAAGAACTGGGCCGGAGCAGCTGCCTTTAGCCCTGCGTTAAAGATGGCCCAGCGGCCGTTTTTAACATGCTTTAGGGCGGCCTGGGGGGCAATTGCCTCCCTGCCCCTCGGCCCAGCCCGCCCCTGCCTGCAAGGCCTGACAGGCCACTTCGGCATGCTGGAAGCAGACTTCTGCTGATACACGCAAGACACAGCGCAGCTACACAAAGCAGTGCAAGACCTGCAACAGCAGACTCACAAAATGGACCAGCGGTTCGCAGAACTGGAAGATCAGAGGAGAAGCCTGAACCTCAAGATCAGGGGCATCGGTGAGGAGATACCAGAGGTGGAGGTACTGCACTTCCTACGGCGCCTGCTGGCCACGTTTTTGCCCTCAAAACAGGCCAAACAAGCAGCCCTGGGGGGATGTTCCTCCTCCCACGTACAGCTAAAGCACCAGCCGCAGCACCGAGAGACCTCCTGGTGCACTTCCTGAGCCACGGAGACAGATCAGCGGTCCTTTAAGCAATAAGATTTATAAGGGCTGACTCTGGCCTGGCGCCGCACGATGAAACCCTTCACGACTCTCCTTCGCCTTCATAAAATTAGATACCAATGTAGGCGACCCTGGGCACTTTTGATCCACCATGGCGACACTTCATTCAGGATCCAACACATGCAAGGGGCCAAAGATCTCTTGCCAACCCTGGGGCTGCAACAGGACACCCTATCCATTGCGGGACTCATCCATACAGCGGTATGGCCAACAACGAGTGACCCCACGACAGCGACACTGTTCGTCCTCCGACGGGCTGGAGCGGGATCATCTACAGCGACCATCACCTGAAGAACTCCGGTAATAGCTACCTAATATTTACCTCTTAACAGCCCTCTGGTTACACGGGCAAGCCGTTTTCAGCGATCGGGACTCTTCTCTCTCCAATGTTCTTGTTCACAAGCAGATAGAACATCCCTGTCTTCCTCCCCCTGACCCCTCCGGGGTAATGGGGTATATTTCAATGCAAGAGCATCATGCTGTTTACAAGCCCACACACTAGAAATTACGCTCCCTATTTAACCTAGTTTGGCAAACAGAACCATATCATTGTACTAGTAGCACAATCAGCCGAAAAGCCCTTAGCAACGCCGGACCCACCGGTAATAAGTCCATAACTCCAGGCTCATGGCCCAAGGCCACTACATGCGAGTTTACCAGTCTGTTATGCACTATTGTAAATGTTTTATGAAATGCATATGATGGTTTTTTCTGTAACATTTAACTTTTTTTATGCTGAGACCATGACCTGAGTCAAAAATAAAGAATAAAAAAAAAAAAAAATTTAAAAAAGAAAGTTTTAAAAAGTAAAAAAAGTTTTAAAAAGGTTTTAAAACGTAAAAAAAGTTTAAAAAAGTAAAATAAAAATGCTTATTACCACAAACAGGCAAAAGAATTGTCCCTCGCTAAGGTTCAAAATATGCCTTTTGAAATACCCTGTGGTGCCTTTTTTTTAACAATCATTTTAATTAAAAAAGTACACTCGTGGTATAATCAAAAAGCAGTTTCAGTCTCTTTAACTAGCACACTAAAGTTATACAGCAAAGATGTAAAAAAGTGAAAACAGTCTAGCCACCTCTTTGGAACATTTTTGCATAATATATATTTCCTACATATTACATTTAGATGGCGTAGACCCACATTTTAGGCACTTCTCTTTCGGTGCTGCTTCTAATGCATTCAGGACTACAGCTTGTGTGATAAACACATCAAATTTCTTTAGAAACATAGAAACATAGAAACATAGAATGTGACGGCAGATAAGAACCATTCGGCCCATCTAGTCTGCCCAATTTTCTAAAAACTTTCATTAGTCCCTAGCCTTATCTTATAGTTAGGATAGCCTTATGCCTATCCCACGCATGCTTAAACTCCTTTACTGTGTTAACCTCTACCACTTCAGCTGGAAGGCTATTCCATGCATCCACTACCCTCTCAGTAAAGTAATACTTCCTGATATTATTTTTAAACCTTTGTCCCTCTAATTTAAGACTATGTCCTCTTGTTGTGGTAGTTTTTCTTCTTTTAAATATAGTCTCCTCCTTTACTGTGTTGATTCCCTTTATATATTTAAATGTTTCTATCATATCCCCCCTGTCTCGTCTTTCCTCCAAGCTATACATGTTAAGATCCTTTAACCTTTCCTGGTAAGTTTTATCCCGCAATCCATGAACCAGTTTAGTAGCCCTTCTCTGAACCCTCTCTAAGGTATCAATATCCTTCTGAAGATACGGTCTCCAGTACTGTGTACAATACTCCAAGTGAGGTCTCACCAGTGTTCTGTACAATGGCATGAGCACTTCCCTCTTTCTACTGCTAATACCTCTCCCTATACAACCAAGCATTCTGCTAGCATTTCCTGCTGCTCTATTACATTGTCTGCCTACCTTTAAGTCATCAGAAATAATCACCCCTAAATCCCTTTCCTCATATGTTGAGGTTAGAACTCTATCAAATATTCTGTACTCTGTCCTTGGGTTTTTACGTCCAAGATGCATTATCTTGCACTTATCCACATTAAATGTCAGTTGCCACAATTCTGACCATTTTTCTAGTTTACCTAAATCATTTGTCATTTGGCTTATCCCTCCTGGAACATCAACCCTGTTACATATCTTAGTATCATCAGCAAAAAGACATACCTTACCATCAAGACCTTCTGCAATATCACTAATAAAATATTAAAGAGAATGGGTCCAAGTACAGATCCCTGAGGTACCCCACTGGTGACAAGTCCAAGCTTCGAATATATTCCATTAACTACAACCCTCTGTTGCCTGTCACTCAGCCACTGTCTTACCCATTCAACAATATTGGAATCCAAACTTAAAGATTGCAGTTTATTGATAAACCTTCTATGTGCAACAGTGTCAAAAGCCTTACTGAAATCTAGGTAAGCAATGTCTACTGCACCACCCTGATCTATAATTTTAGTTACCCAATCAAAAAAATCAATAAGATAAGTTTGGCATGATCTCCCTGAAGTAAACCCATGTTGTCTCTGATCTTGAAATCCATGTGTTTTAGATGTTCAACAATCCTATCCTTTAACATGGTTTCCATCACTTTCCCCACTACTGAAGTAAGGCTTACTGGCCTATAGTTGCCTGACTCCTCCCTATTACCTTTCTTGTGAATGGGCACAACATTCGCTAACTTTCAATCTTCTGGGACTACTCCTGTTAACAATGATTGGTTAAATAAATCTATTAATGGTTTTGCTAGTACACCACTAAGCTCTTTTAATAGCTTTGGGTGTATTCCATCAGGTCCCATTGACTTATTTGTCTTTACTTTTGACAGTTGAAATAGTACCTCTTCCTCTGTAAACTCACGTGTAATAAATGACTAATTTATCCTTTTTCTCAACTGAGGTCCCTTTCCTTCATTTTCTTCTGTAAATACAGAACAAAAATATTCATTGAGGCAGTCAGCCTGACCTTTATCCTCTTCTACATACCTTCCTTCTTTTGTTTTAATCTAACTAATCCTTGTTTTACTTTTCTTTTCTCATTTATGTATCTAAAAAATGTTTTATCCCCCTTTTTTACTGACTGTGCTATTTTCTCTTCTGTGTGATTTGGAAGCTCTTATAACTTGCTTAGCCTCTTTCTGCCTAATCTTATAGATCATTTTGTCTCCCTCACTCTGGGTTTTTTTATAATTCCTAAATGCTAACTTTTTGTTTTTAACTATTTTGGCCACATCTGCGGAGTACCACAGTGGTTTCTTGAATTTTGCTTTTACTGACAAGCCTAATGCAATTTTCTGTTGCCTTCAATAGTGCAACTTTTAAATAATCCCATTTTTCTTGGACTCCATTTAAATTGCTCCAGTCTGATAATGACTCCTCTACCCTTATTCTAATTTTAGAAAAGTCTGTTTTTCTAAAGTCTAAAACTTTTGTTTTTGTGTGGTGTGACTCAGTCACTGTTCTTATATTAAACCACACTGACTGATGATCACTGGATCCTAAACTTTCACCTACAGTAACATCTGATACCAAATCTCCATTTGTTAACACACTAAATCTAGTATGGCCTCTTTACGAGTTGGCTCCTCAACAACTTGTTTTAGAGACAATCCCAGTAGGGAGTTTAGAATATGTGAGCTCCTGGCACAAGTAGCTAATTTTGTTTTCCAATTTACATCAGGAAGATTAAAGTCACCCATGATGATAACTTCCCCCTTCATTGTCATTTTAGCTATTTCCTCACCTATTGGTGATTTTATGCTATCTTTCACATACAAGGCCACCCCTCCCCCTTTCTTGCCTTCCCTATCTTTCCTATATAAAGAGTACCCTGGTATTGCTATGTCCCAGTCATTTTTCTCATTGTACCATGTCTCAGTAACAGCGACTAAATCTACACTATCAGTTGCCATTATTGCCACAAGTTCATGGATCTTATTCCCTAAACTGCGAGCATTTGTAGACATGACTCTAAGCTTATCATTTTTTAACACACTTGCTACAGGCACCTTCTGTCCTTGTTTTGGGGGACAATTGGATTGATGTTTTATCACCTTTTTGCCCCCCCCCCTCTAGTTTAAAAGATCCTAGCAAAACCTCTGAACTGCTCACTGAGAACATTTGTTCCCTTTTGAGAAAGATGCAAACCATCTTTTTTGTACAGCTTATCTCCATTTCAAACAGAGCTACCATGAGAAATAAAGCCAAATCCTTGCTCCCGACACCATTCACCAAGCCACAAATTAAAGTCCTTAATACGCATCCGCCTGTCATTCTGAGTGTTATGCACAGGCAGAACTTCAGAGAATGACAGTGTGGAAGCAACCTGCCATATATCATTGGCAAAAACACTAAAAACTTCCTTAACCTCTGAAACCTCATTGCAAGCCAAGTCATTTGTCCCTAGATGGACAAGTACATCCAATTCCCCTTCCTGCTTTGCTTGCTTAACAATATTACAGATACGTCTCCTGTTTCTGTGAGCAGTAGCTCCGGGAAGACACCTCACAAGACCACCATTGTTCATCTCCACACCTCTGATAATGGAATCACCCAACAACAACTGCTTTCTATTAGGCCTCACCATAGTCTCCAAGCCGTTCTCCACAACACCACTAGCCTCAGTGCCTCTCTCCACAACACCACTAGCCTCAGTGCCTCTCTCCACAACACCACTAGCCTCAGTGCCTCTCTCCACAATACCACTAGTCTTAGTGCCTCTCTCCACAACACCACTAGCCTCAGTGCCTCTCTCCACAACACCATTACACTCTGAATGTGCAGAAAATGAATTATGAAGAGCAACAGACTGTGCAAAATGCCTTTTATCCACAGCTCTAAGTCTACCAGATCCTACAGTAATCCATCTGCCTTTCCTAGCATGTCTCTGCGGCAGTGGCTTTGCAGCAGTTCCAGTCTGAGTTTCTTCACCAGATAATTTACAAATCTCAGACTTCAAAAATACAATCTCCTTGCTTGCCTCTCACTGTGATTTTCACAGTGAGAGCACGCAAGAGTCCATAGGAAAGTATTATGAATGCTTTCCTATGTGACCGGCTGTATGCGCGCGCAGCTCTTGCCGCGCATGCGCATACAGCCGACGGGGAGGAGAAGAGGAGGATCGGAGGAGGAGAGCTCTCCGCCCAGCGCTGGAAAAAGGTAAGTTTTTAACCCCTTTCCAGAGCCCGGCGGGAGGGGGTCCCTGAGGGTGGGGGCACGAGTATGTTTTCCTGGCACTATAGTGGTCCTTTAACTGTTGATGCTCTGCATAGGACTTAAAAAGATAAATAAAACCCCATATTGTAAGAGAAATAAAGTATTTGAATAGTAATACACTGTCACACGACATGTTATAATACACCAATCAAAGGTAAAAAGCGATCTAAACTGGTGATGCAGCCAGTGTCAGGACAGTCCCATAATCAAACAAATACAAACATCCTGCAGAATGACATCACACTCACACTCGGCTGGATAGCGCCTGCAGAATGACATCACACTAAAACACGCGGCTGGATAGCGCCCGCAGAATGACATCACACTCACACACGCGGCTGGATAGCGCTTGCAGAATGACATCACACTAAACACGCGGCTGATAGCGCCTGCAGAATGACATCACACTCGGCTGGATAGCGCCCGCAGAATGACATCACACTCACACAAGCGGCTGGATAGCGCCCGCAGAATGACATCACACGCGGCTGGATAGCGCCTGCAGAATGACATCACACTCACACAAGCAGCTGGATAGCGCCCGCAGAATGACATCACACGCGGCTGGATAGCGCCTGCAGAATGACATCACACTCACACAAACGGCTGGATAGCGCCCGCAGAATGACATCACACTCACACACGCGGCTGGATAGCGCCTGCAGAATGACATCACACTCACACAAGCGGCTGGATAGCGCCCGCAGAATGACATCACACTCACACACACGCGGCTGGATAGCGCTTGCAGAATGACATCACATTCACACACGCGGCTGGATAGCGCCCGCAGAATGACATCACACTCACACACACACGGCTGGATAGCGCCCGCAGAATGACATCGCACTCACACGCGGCTGGATAGCGCCCGCAGAATGACATCACACACGCGGCTGGATAGCGCCTGCAGAATGACATCACACACGCGGCTGGATAGCGCCTGCAGAATGACATCACACTCACACACGTGGCTGGATAGGGCTTGCAGAATGACATCACACTAACAAACGCGGCTGGATAGCGCCTGCAGAATGACATCACACTAACACACACACGGCTGGGTAGCACCCACAGAATGACATCACACTCACACACACACACGGCTGGATAGCGCCCACAGAATTACATCATACTCACACACACACGGCTGGATAGCGCCTGCAAAAGGACATCACACACACACAATGCTGGATAGCGCCCGCAGAATGACATGCGGCTGGATAGTGCCCACAGAATGACATCACATGCACACACACGGCTGGATAGTGCCTGCAGAATGACATCACACTAACACACACACGGCTGGGTAGCGCCCATAGAATTACATCATACTCACACACACACACGGCTGGATAGTGCCTGCAGAATTACATCACACTCACACGGCTGGATAGTGCCACTCTGTGTCAATTACTGTCTCAATTCTGATCACTCTGTCTCTGTGTCACTTACTGTCTCTCAGTTCTGCTCACTCTGTCTCTGTGCCGCTTACTGCCTCTTAGCTCTGTTCACTATGTTTTTGTGTCATTTAATGTCTCTCAGTTCTGCTCACTATGTCTCTGTGTCAATTATGGTCTCTCAGTTCTGCTCACTGTGTCTCAGTGTCACTGTTTCTCAGTTCTGCACACTGCGTCTCAGTGTCACTAACGGTCTCTCAATTCTGCTCACTGTGTCTCTGTGTCACTTACTGTCTCTCAGTTCTGCTCACTGTGTCTCTTACTGTCTCTCAGTACTGCTCACGGTGTCTCTGTGTCACTTACTGTCTCTCAGTTCTGCTCACGATGTCAGAATAAAAGCAATGACTTCAATTGGAACCAGTTAATTATAGCATTAATGGATTTCATGGAGTTTGAAAAATAGCTGAGCATACCTTTTAATTGGAGTGGGTGCACCAGAGGATATATGCGTGACCAAGGCATCGTTCATGTTGGACAGTGGACGAATTGGGCTAAAAGGAAAAAGGAAAATAAATACATTAAAAACTCTGATCAAAACGGAGAAAAAAAACATATGTTCACATCAATAAATAAATATTTATATATATATATATATATATATATATATATTTGTGTTAAGGGCTCATGATAGTACAGAAGATACAAACACAGATAAGTGTGGGATAGTGTGAAAGAGCAAGTCGGTTGTGGTGTGCCGGAACCGACGATGAGATAGGCCTGCAAATAAAGAGGGCCCACCAATAAGAAATGTATGAAAAAGGAGTTAATAAAAGAGGAGTGGGTGGGAGGGTGATGCAGCGCTGACCTCGAACGGTATGGAGCCAGGTAAGGGGTGTCCCTTAAGTAGGGAGAAGGTGAGTCATACGCCCCTCCCACAATTACAGGCCAAAAGGCCTTAATACTTGTGTTAAGGGCTCATGATAGTACAGAAGATACAAACACTGATAAGTGTGGGATAGTGTGAAAGAGCAAGTCGGTTGTGGTGTGCCGGAACCGACGATGAGGTAGGCCTGCAAATAAAGAGGGCAAAAGTAGAAAATATACTTTATTACGAAACGAGCAATATACATACTTCAACCAGACATATCTTGAAAGGCATTTCTAACTTCTTGTACCGGGTTAGGTATGTATCTAGAGTATGCAGAAGACTTCCAGCGCCCTAGTGACTTGATAACATGTACTGGAATGTTTGCACTGGACGCTGTGGAGGCCGCCCCTATGCGGAAGGAGTGGCCCGAATAGTTAGCTGATTTTAGGCCTAGTTGTGTAAGTAGGGACCTGACGTGGGTCATGAAGGTGGTGGTAGTGAGTACCGAACCTTGTAGACAGAAAAGTGGTTGAGATGGTGATGCTTTGAAATGCTGAGTATAGGTGTCCAGTAATGTGACGGGGCACCACACGTTGTGGGTAGGATAGTATCTAACCTCTACCGGGGGTGCATGTTGATTGGTTTTGGAGTGATGCAGAGCTAAAATATAGTAATCCATGTGTTTCGTTAAGTGTGAATGAAGCAGAATGTGAGTGGACTGGGATGTGTTGATGGCGGTAAATTCTCTTGGTCTCAAGAAACCATAAAAAGCTACGTATATGGCGGTTTTTATAACAAGGTTTGTGTTGTTCGCAAAGGGTTTTGAATCTAGTAGGCTGGATAAATCCTTGAAGATATTGAAGTCTATAGGTAGCCTTTGCGCGGTACGTGGGGGTTCGGATCTCTGGATACCTCTAAGGATGTTTTTATCTGGTAGGAGGACATGAAACTTGTGTTGTTTGGTTGTAATGTTAGCATGTGATGTTGTATGCCTGTCAGATATAGCTTGATTGTGTTGTAAGATAATTTAAGTTTGAGGTGGCAAAAAGAAGCAAAACCTAACAAAGATGTCATGATGAAAGGTTGTGTGACGTTGTGCAGTGACAGGAATCTTTTAAATAGAAGGAAAGCCCTGTCATATGTTCTCCGGGTATTGGTGGACAGTGCTAATTGTGCCAATGTCCTGCTATGTTGCATAATAGCTTCTAGTCCATGACTAGCTGGTGGAAAGGTGGAGTGGTCGTGGCTGTACGTGCGGCTGACGGAAGTATTTGCCGAAAAGCCTGAAAATTGAAACGAGACAAATTGTCAGCAGCCGTGTTACAAACACCTGGGACATGGACACAAAACAAGAAGAAATTATGGCATGCAGCCAGCCAGGTGAGTTTCCTCAAGAACCTCATAATGGTCAGTGACTTGGATCGGCCTTTGTTTATGATGTGGCAGGTAGCTTGGTTGTCTGAGTGGCAACGTACTGACGAACCTGCCCATAGATGCCCCCATGTCACGGCAGCTGCCACAATGGGATACATCTCAAATAGAGCTGAGGTAGTGGAAAAACCTTCCAGGTCCTGTACCTCTGGAGGCCAGCTACCCCAAAGCCATTCATTCCCGTAAATTGCTGCAAAACCTGTGGTAGACGCCGCGTCTGACCAGATGGTAGGTGAGGAGTCAGACAATTTAGGGAGAAACATGCTTTTCCCATTCCAGGTGGTCAAAAAGTTTCTCCACATAAGTAGGTCTGCCGTGGCTTGGGTATCCAGTGGTAACCTGTGTGCATCATGTCTAAACAGTGGGAACATGGTTAGGAGCCGTGAGATGAAAGCCCGGCCTTGAGGTATAATGCGCATGGCAAAGTTCAGTGACCCAAGTAGAGACTGCAATTCTTTGCGATTGCAAGTACCGAGGTGTATGTAGAGGTTAATGTTGGTGAGAATGTTCTCTATCTTGGTGCGTGGCAGGCTGGCTTGCATGGTGGCTGAGTCTAGCATGATTCCCAGAAAGGTGATGACTGTATCTGGTCCTTCAGTTTTGGTGGGGGAGACTGGAACACCCACCTGTTTAAAAAGACTGATGGTTTCTATGAGGCTACTGGGAGGGGAAGTGTTCTCTTCGATCAGTAAGAAATCATCCAGGTAGTGTATAACTGTAGGGCATCTGGCTACATTTAATAATAACCAGCATAATGTTTCGGCGAATACGTCGAAAATGGCCGGACTACTTTTTGAACCAAACGTTAGGCGTGAGAAAAAGTAGTAGTGCCCGGCCCACTTAATGCCATGCAGGTGCCATAGTGTAGGGTGGATAGGCAATAATTTGAAGGCATTTGTAATGTCAGTCTTGCTGAGCCATGCTCCGACCCCTGCCTGCATGATAGCTGTAATGGCGTGATCTATGGTGGAGTATTGAAGTGAAAATTCCTCAGAGGGGATAAGGGAGTTCAGACTAGGTGAGGCAGAGGTGTGAGGTGCAGACAGATCGATGATAAGTCTTTGTTTGTGGGAAGATTTCCCTGTGACAATACCGATGGGGTTTGTCCGCCATGTGGAAAAAGGAGGGGACTGAAAGGGTCCCAATAGGAAGCCCTCTGCCACTTCTTTGGCTATGAGTGTGCTAACCGCTGTAGGGTTTTGTTGTGCAGATTGTAAATTAGGACATTCAAGGATTCCTGAAGGCATGTGTATGAGACCAGTATGGAATCCTTGTGATAGACCAGTGATGATGAAGTCTACCAAATGTCTAGATGGATGTTGTGACAGTAATGCCGTGAGTACAGAAATATTTATCTCAGTTAAGTATTGCTTAGGGTACATTTTATTTGGACACATGGTTTTCGCATGTGCCCTAAAACATTTTGAACATATATGCAATAACCGACAACCGCTGTAATTACATGCACCGACATTGAAATTATTACATATTTGGGACTTCCCCAAAAACTTGATAGGTCGACCCAGTTTGTCTTTGGGTGTTCTCTCTGCCGAAACAGCGGAGCTAGTGCCCTGCGAGGTGGTAGGTTCGTTCGCAGTGGTCGGACAAAAATTGGCAGTATGAGCCATGGAGGAGCAGTGTGCACAGGCCGGTGCTCTTAGACCTGCAAAGTGCCTGCAAAAAATGATCGTATCAATCTTACTCCAGTTGGACCTTGTCCCGTACTGTGAGAAGGCGCCAGACACTTTGGCAGAAAAGGATCTATGGTAGTCATAGAAAGCTGACCCACCATATTTGTTGCCCAGATCAACCAGCCTGTGCATATATAAGTCAAACTCCTCACGTCTGTGGGGATATACCGTACAGATCACATCCCGATAAATGCCAAAAGCTAATACAAATTCTGGAATGGTTAGCTTCCTATTTAATCGTGCATCCCTAGATTTGACCACCACAGAAATATCGTCATAAGCGTAGGTCTTATGTTCCACTATATCCTGGGAGGCAATTAGTAGTGAGGCCAGATTGACATCTTTACCTTCCAGGATATCTCTCCTGAGGTGCTCAGGAATCATGTGGGCAGGGTAAACCTCTTGGTCATCCGAGGTGATAGCTGGAGAAACTGATTGCGACTCCACCACTGATGGGGGAATTGCCGTGGCCGGTCCAGCCATAGTGAGGGCTGTAGTGACCGATTCAAGTTTCTCCAGCCTAGAATTGACCTTGCTCATGGATGCCATGAGGGACGTGAGCATGTCATGTATGTTTCCTGGGTTGGACTGGCTCGACCCTTCCCCAGCGTCCATGTTATCGGTTGAGGTGTGTAGTAATTTGTAAAGTTCCGCTTTCCTTGCTGTTGCTGGAAAAGGGATTTGTCGTCTCCTGAGTTCGCTAGTGATGCGAGGGATAGTCCATGATCTGAAAGATGCTGGACTAGCCGTATCTTCCTCCTGTGATGGGGTGTTTGTTCTAGCCGGAGTCCTTGGGATGGAGAAATCCTCTACCCCTTCTTGAGACATACTAGATTACAAAGTATATGGTTAGCGTAAAAACCCCCAGGGGATGTACTGGCAGGCTAATTATGCCGGATGAGGCGAAAAAATTAATCTTGTTCTTTGGTGACAGGTGAGGCCCTGCTAGTTGCCAAGTGGCTATGAGAGGTTCTATCTATGCGTTGGCGCGAGGGGTTATTTGAGGCCACCCGACGTAGTGGCAGGAATTCGTAGGCCTCTCGGTGACAATACAAGAAAACAGGGGAAGGGAGTGACAGGTGGCACCCTCTCTATAATTGCGAGGCGGCTAACTCACGTGTGGCCCGGGGGGCATTACCTCCGAAACGTTGAGGCGGGGTGTTGGCCTCGCGGACCACTAAACGATAGGCAGAATGCCCGGAGGGGGGATACCTATTTGGGCCTATAACCCCTAAAATTTGCCAGTACTCTATGTCCTAAGTAGAGGAGGAACCATATGTGATGTATGGCGTGAGCAGGCTTAACGTACCTGGTAGTATGTATGAGTTTGATAAGCGATAGGTAAAGAAAACTGGAAAAACCTAAAGGGATAGAAAACCAGATATGATAGTGTGAGAATTGGATCCTATGATACCAATTTAGACTAGTTAGCTGTGATGAGTGCTAGCAGTACATATGGAAGGGGAATTTATGAATGGTATTGGCCCGACTGGCCCTGTTATGTGGTATGGTAACCATGCTTAGGGTGTGTATGATATGTCTCTATGGTGACAAGATTAATGCGTATGATTTAGTAATGCTAGTGTTTGTAGTATAATAAGGTGCAGGATTTAAAACAATACTGTATATTTTAGGCCGTAAACGTAAGCCATGAAAAGAGGTAAGTACGAGGTACAGAAATATTTGAGAAATTATCCCAAATTAGGAAAACAACGTGACGTATGAGTGGTTGAATCAAGACGTGTGATTCAACCCGAAAGTTTGTGAGATTTTTTGAGACCGTGTTCTTGTGTACTTGGTATGTCGTTTGAGTACACAAAGAAAAAGTCAGAATATATAAGTGCCATGTAAGAAACGTGAGTACATGGTATGATAGAAACGTAATTTCTAAACATAATTTATAACCTAAATCCTACATGAAATATCTGTAAAAATGTAAAAGCTTGTTTAAGCATAACTCCATAAATATATGTGTATAACATGAAGAATTTCAATAAAACTTAATAATGCCATATCTGCTAATAGATTGAACCATAACCTAATAAATACTTATTTATAAGTAGTTAACAGGGGTATTGCCCCAGTCATATGCAAGGATTTTGTAATTTGCATAATAAATAACAGTAAATAACATGAAACCAACTATAAGAACAGGACTAAAGTGAAGTGGTTATTCCACTAAAGATGGAAAGAATTGGACATCCACTTCACCAAATGATATCTCTAACTGGTTAAAATAATTATTAGGTATAACCTTTATTAAGCCATCTTAAGGCAAAACAAAAAAATAGTACAGTGTAATAATGGTGAAATACTCGTGAAAGACAACACGTCAAATAAAAACTGGGGAGATGTAGTGTGGATATCCTCAAAATATAGTAAAGTGATATCTTCGCTGAAAATTATAGTAACTTAGAGAATAAAGATACCTATATGATCTTGAAAGCTGACCCTACAAACTCATTTTTAACAAAATATAAGGAAATATTGGATGAGGGCCGCAGTGGGGGGTTGCTGTCCGGGGATGAATATGAATTCATTTTGAATCGATGCCCCAGGATAGCAACCTTCTACTGCCTACCCAAAATCCATCAGAATACACAATTTCCACCGGGTCGCCCCATTGTTTCTGGAGTTGATAATCTGACTCAAAATGGGAGCCTGTATATTGAAAAAATAATAAGACCTTTTGTTGAACAACTACCTTCATATGTTAGAGATACAAAACAGGCATTATCATTTTTCTTGAATCTTCAGCTACCCACTTCAGCAAAGCTCTGTAGTTTGGACGTTGAGGCCCTCTATTCTTCAATTCCCCATGAACGGGGTATCGAACATACTAGATTTTTTCTAGATCAGAGAGGTCCCAATCATACTCTTCATACTGGGTTTGTACTAAAACTTCTAGGTTACATTCTGTCTCATAATTATTTTCTATTCCATGACAAATTCTTTCACCAGATAAGGGGGACGGCGATGGGTACGGCGTGTGCGCCCTCCTACGCCAACCTCCATTTAGGCTGGTGGGAGTCACAGATCATGAAATCAAGCACCCTCTTGAGCTATGTACCTAAATTACATACATGGCTTAGGTATATAGACGATGTCTTTATTGTCTGGCTGGGTGATGAAGAAGACTTTAATGAGTTTGTCTCTCTGCTGAATGTAAACGAAGAAAATCTTAGATTTACATCAGAATTTGGAGGACAGACTCTAAATTTTCTGGACATAACCATCTCCATCAACATGAATGGGTCTCTGAAAACAACCCTCTTCAAGAAACCTACAGCATCCAATGCATTCCTCAGATGGGATAGCTTTCATCCAAGGCCCCTGAAACAAGGCATCCCGGTAGGACAATACTTGAGGGTACGTAGGAATTGTACGGACCTATCGGATTTTAAGGTAAAAGCAGCTCTACTAAGACAACAATTTCGGGAAAAAGGCTACCCGAATAAATGCCTTAAAAAAGC